ATCTCAAGACAGTCACTTAATGTGGTACTCGAGTTGGGCTACTGTGACCCATTTCTGATTTGGGCTTGTGACTGTTAAGTTGCAATTTTGGTCCGGTATATGCCTATCAATAAATGTAAACTTGATCGTAGTGGTATTCATTTACATCACATTGAAATAAAGATAGGGTATTTATTGTAAATGTAGGGTAAGTTAAAGGACCATAAATATAAATATAGTTATATTATTTTGATTTGATGGCATTTGAATAAAGATAGGGTATTTATTGTAAATATAAGGTAAGTTAAAGGACCATAAATGTAAATATAGTTATATTATTTTGAGTTGATGCACTGAAATAAAAATAATGTATTTACTGTAAATGTAGGGTAAATTAAAGGACCATAAATATAAATATAGTTATATTATTTTGATTTGATCCTAGTGATATTCATTTACACCGCACCGAAATAAAGATAAAGTATCTATTGTAAATGCAGTGTAAGTTAAAGGACCATAAATATAAATACATTCCAACTTTGAGTTCCAATAAGTTTTATGAGGTCAAAATTAAATCATTATTGGCAAATGTTTATAATTAACAAAACATAATTACAATTATTTTTAATCAAACGCAACTACGATAAATAAAAGTTAGTCTTTATTTACCATTGTTTTGTCAAACACAGTCATATTTTAATTTTTGTTAGAAATATGTTAATATTAACAATAAAACATATAATATTAACATGGAGTAACTTGAAGGATTGTAAATCTACAAATAGTTATATTATTTTTATTTGATCTTAAACATAGTCCTATTTTAATTTTATTATAAAGGTGCTTATATTAACAATAAAATATGTAATATTAGGACGCATGTGTATGTTTTCGGTTTTAAAAGAAAAAACTTGAAAACTTTTTAATAAGTTATTTTTAGTATACTCATTTAAAACCTATTAGTTTTGCCTAACATGGTTATATAGTTACGAAAAATATCATATTTTGTTTATTTATATCAAAAAAATAGAAAAGACATTAAATTATATATATATATATATATATATATATATATATATATATATATATGAAAAGTAAAAGAAAAAGTGTTTAAAATAAAAAAATTTATTCAAGTAAAAAGGAAAAAGAAAAAAACGTCTTTAAAATAAAAAAAAAATTATTCAAGAAAAAAGGAACAAGGCAAAAGAAAAACGTAAATAAGATAGTTTTTATTCGGATAGTAAAATACAATTTAATAATATATAAAGATAGTTTTTATTCAGATAGTAAAATACAAATTAATAATATATAATACGTCATCTTAGATTGGGTTTTAAGAAAAGTGATTTTGACTTTTGAAAAATAATGGTTTTAACTCAATTTTTGGGTGCCAATAGCAACGTTCATAAATTATGTGTCGCAAATTTGCTATGGTTACTAAGGTTTTCAAGGGACAATGCAATAAACATCTATGTATTTGTGGTTATATGTTTGATTGTATGTGCTCAATGTTTTAAAAACCAGTTTGTAGTTGAACAGGAATAATGATAGTTCAACCGTCGGGTCAACCAGTTTTTTTAATTTTCATATTTTTTTTATTTTTCAACAAATACATACATACATAAATCAAGAATCTGACGTCCACAGGTTCAAACATTAAAAATACACGGAAACAAGTTGAAGATCAATCCGAATAAATTAAAATAGCACATAACAGTAAGTTTTACATAAATCCGCATACATCAAAAATAAAATAAAGTATAATATTGAAAAAAATATAGTTTTAGATGAATGCAATTTAATCAAAAACTTCATAACATTTACTATATGTTTTTATTTAAAAAATCTAAATAAATGTGAAAATATCACCAAAGTTTATTATGAAAAATGATTTTTTTCCATCTGTTTGTATTCAGTTTAACAAGTTCAACTGAGTTTTTGTAAAAACCTGTTCAACTGAGTTATTGTAAAAACCGGTCAGTTCATTCCGATTTAAAAATAGACATAAAACCAGTGATAGTTGACCCGCTTCATTCACCGGTTCCTGGTCCAACCAGTTCGACCGATCGGTTCAAAGCGATTTTTAAAACATTGTCTGCGCTTGCAAGTGATTGTGTGTGTATGTTTATGTGTGAGTTTGTTGTGTGTGACAAAAACAGAAAGTGCATTATTATTTCTGTTTTTTACACACACATTCTCTCTTCTCTATCTCTCAAACGCAACCAATTTTCTCAAATTCTTTAAACTTTCGCCGCAACATCATACTTAAAACCCTCGTTATGAAATAATTACAAACTCTTATTTACCTAAATAATTGGACCGAATGTTACCACATTGTGGGACATTCATGAAGATGAAAATATGAATCTAAATATTTCAAAATGTTAACCGAAATGAACATTTAAACAAGTCAAAACATACCGATGTATATATATATGCTATAATGGTCTACAGGTTGTATTACGGTATAATTGACAAATCGTTGACCATCTAAATAACGATATCGGTGTCACCACATTATGAGGTATTCATAAAGTGAAATATTAATCTTTAATCTTAGTTTAATAAAAAAACGTTTTCCAAAATGTTGATTAAAATGTTAAATTTTTTATTGGAAAATGATTATATTCACATGCTAATAAGCGAATTATTTCTATAGATGTCAAGCTCGAAAAAAAAAATACCACCGAAAACGATATATCACTATACTTAATCCTTGAAAAATATAGAATACAAGAATCAACTATCACGAATGAAATATCCATTTGAGAATCATTACCAAACAAATGGAGCAACCCTTGGTTCTTGACAAACCATTGCTATAAATCCAGTCCATTGGGTTTTAATGCCTTGGACTAAAAAATTTAATAATGCCCGCAATACTTGTATTAAATTTGTATTTAAAATAATTTTATAAAACAATAATGCAACTAGTGTTCTTTTTCTCCAAACAAATTCATATCCATATAATTAAAACATGCAAACATCAATGTGAAAAACTATTTTCCAAGTTCTAGATATGCTCTTTGTTGCCTAACGTGTGGTATGAACTCTCAAACATGAAAAGAAAATTAGATACATTCAAATGTGAAAAAAATACTATCCCTAATTTCATCATCTTAAATGTAAATATAATATCAAATTAGAAAACATAAATGTCACTTTCTTCAACCATTTCTAATCTAATCTAAAAAATGTCACTGTCGGAGCCTTCGATTCTGCCACTTTGGTCCAAAAATGTTTGGACTATCACCAGTGGTCCAAAATTTTCATTTTGTTGCAAATTTTGTCCATTTTTTTTAAATTTTTTTTATAATACCGATTTTGCCCTTTGTATTATACAAAATAAAAAAAAATGTAAACACCCTCCCCTTTATCTGCCTTTTTTATTTTTGTTAACATCCTTAACACCACATCACTGGTGAAGCACAATCACCACCACCACCGATAGCACAACCACCACCACCTGAAGTCGATGCCGGTAAGAAGGAGACGAAAAGACGCAACCAGAACTAGGGAGATAAAGAAAGACATAGGTGGGAGATGAAGAGGCACATATCCGACGAAGAAAGAAACCCTCAGATCCACATCTTCGTCGTGGTCGATTTCTAGATCGATGTTTCCACATCTTCGATGTTTCGATTTTCAGATCGATGTTTTGCTTAAATCGGCGGCACTGCAATGTCCTTATCCACGGTCGTAGTTCGTTTGCTGCCTTTCTCGGTTTGTCCACCCCGACCAAAAACCCTAAATCTTTCAGATTTTGTTTCTTCTTCTCCGTCAGTTCTTCTCTATGTGACGAAGGGTTTTCAAATCGAAGCGCTGACAATGTTAATGACTCCAACGAAGGTTTTTCAAATCGAAGGCTCCGACGGCTCTAACGACTCCGACGAAGGGTTATAGTGATCTTAAACAACCAGAGAAAAAGAGGTTGATGGCTCCGGTGACGATGGGGGATGAAGATGAGTGTGTTTTAAGACCGGAGGGTTTTTTGTCTTCGTCGGAAAATCGAATGTGTTTTTGCCTCTTTCAGAAAATTGATGGTTATGGTGGTGATGAACTGTGGAGGTTGTGATTTTGACATGTTCTGGTGGTACAAACGGTGATGTGGCCTTCAAAGGAGACAACAAAATGGGTGGCACCGACGAAGTCCTTGTCGACGCCAAAATTGAATGATTTAGATTAAATTGCAAAATTGAACGCTTTAGATTTAATATGAAAAATATACAAATATCTAAAACGTGGGGTCATTTTCTACAACAGATGTTATTTTTGTCTCTGCCATGTGTCAGGATGTTATTTTTGTGACTTCATTTGTTTTCAGTCACTTTATTATGTGTCGATAATTTTTGTTTTTTCTTTGTAAAAAATCAAACTTTTAAAATTTACTGTATTGTTTACAAAAAGAATATAATCATGAAAAAAAATTAAATGTTTTATGACAAATAAATATGTCTCAAAATGTCCTGAAAAATTTAAGGGTTAATTTACTCATTATATAGTGAGTTTGAAAAAAAAAAACAATAAGTGTTCATATTTTATTTTAAAAAAATATTTGTTTTAATAAAATATAAGTAATTTTTTGTCTTCAAATTCAGAGAAAAGTTAAACATTTATATATATATATATATATATATATATATATATATATATATATATATATATATATATATATATATATATATATATATATTCAAATTCAGACCATATTAATTATGTATCATTTTTAATAGATTAATCATATATATAAAAAAATATTTTTTTTATATAAAAACCATTGCGTGAAACCGTGAACAATAAAATTATAAACAAGTAACAAACCCTAGAAATATAAAATACACATGTTTTCATCGTTAAGTACTTAAGTTAACATACTTTGGACTACTTTTAAATCCCTTATGGGCCTATTCATCAACACTGAAACCCCAAAAAGAAGCCCAATTTACTTTCTTGGCGCCAAGCAACAGCTCTTTCCCGCCAAAAGTTCCAAGATTCCCTTTTTACTCTCCACTGGTTAACCTACGTACCATAGTTGCATCTCAATCTCCCGCCATAATCAATCCGGAAACTGAAAATGGCTTCCGACTCTTCTCCAGGTAATACCTCCGGCGATAATTTTCTATCTGTTTGCTTGATTTGATTTTTCGGTTTTCAGTTTATCTTTTAGAAGTTTGGGATTTTTCATCGGAATTAGGTCTTAACTGAATTAACTCGATTATATTTCACAGGACCTACGTCAACTGATGACTTAATTTCAAGCCCAGGCAGGAACACACTTTCTCCTGCGAACAATACTCGCAACAGCCGTCGAAAGCGCGGTCGTCCATCTGCGGCAGTTGGGACGCCGCCAGTACCATCACATTCCCGCTATGTTGGCACACCTGAACCATCCCCAACACCCAATTCCACGGCCCCATCATCGCGTCGTGGTGGTAGAGGGAGATCCGGCTCCGTGCCCCTGACGTCTCCTTCGACCGACGATGTAGTCCCTTCATCCGAAGGTGGAGAAGAAGACGAAGCAAATGGATCCCCTGCAATGTTTGTTTGGGGAACCAATATCAGCGTGCAAGACGTGAACGCTGCGATCTTGAGGTTTTTGAGGCATTTCCGCGAACACGAGTCGCACACTGACGGGAAATACATGAAAGCCATCAACCACGTCATCGAGATCGAAGGGGAGTCGTTGGAAGTCGATGCTAACGATGTAGATGCCTATGATAGCGACCTGTATACGAAGATGGTGAGGTATCCCTTAGAAGTTCTTGCCATATTCGATATTGTGCTGATGGATATGGTTAGTAGAATCAATCCATTATTCGAGAAGCACATACAAGCGCGGATTTTTAATTTGAAAACGTCAACTTCCATGAGAAATCTCAACCCAGCTGGTTCGTTTATTTGATAAAGCTTTTATCTTTGAACTGAGGCTGTATTAAATTCCAGTTGCTTATTTAATTTGTAACTTTTGTGCATCATCAGATATTGAGAAAATGGTGTCATTGAAAGGAATGGTTATCAGATGCAGTTCGATTATTCCCGAAATCAGGGAAGCAGTGTTCAGATGCATAGTGTGTGGGCACTTTTCTGAACCCATTGTTGTAGACAGAGGTAAGTTTTCGACACTCACATCTTACCTTACTACTGTAGTTTACAATGTTGATGCTATTAGCAAATGGATCGAGTGTATTTGATTGTGTGTACCTTGTTTTACAAGAGCAGATATAAATAATGTAATATGTGATTATGTCTATTCGATCTTTTTATTTCTATTAAATTTATCTCTTGTTACCAGGGCAAATCAGTGAACCAACCATATGTATGAAGGAAGAGTGCAAAACAAAGAACTCAATGACATTAGTTCACAATAGATGCAGGTATATCCATTCAAAATCTATAGTCTTTAATACACCTTTCTATCAACCACACCATTTCACTAATAAATGCATATGTTTTTAGACTAAAACGTGTGATACCCTGAAACAGGTTTGCAGATAAACAAATTGTAAGACTCCAGGAGACACCTGATGAAATCCCTGAAGGGGGTACACCTCACACAGTGAGCTTGCTGATGCATGACAAATTGGTCGATGCTGGAAAACCTGGTGACAGAGTTGAGGTAACCTTCAATATGAACTTGAAAAAATACTCATTTTAGCTAAAGATCGATCTTGTATTCTTGTTTACTGTTATTTGTTGTTCTAAATGATTGTTATTGTTTAAAAGGTAACTGGGATATACAGAGCTATGAGTGTGAGAGTTGGCCCAACTCAAAGAACTGTGAAGTCTTTATTCAAGGTACTTTTTTTTTATTATCCCATTTCCATCATTCCACTAAAACTTGTTCTAATTATTGATATAAGTCAGCTAACAACTCTTTTTTGTTTTCAGACTTATATCGATTGTCTTCATTTAAAGAAAACTGATAAATCAAGAATGAATGCTGAAGATCCAATGGAAACTGAACAGAACTCTACTCAAAATGGTGAAGAACCCCGTGTGGATAATGAAGAGCTGGTTGAGAAACTGAAAGAGCTATCAAAACAGCCTGATATATACGACATGCTTACAAGATCTTTAGCTCCAAACATATGGGAACTAGATGATGTGAAGAAAGGACTTCTTTGTCAGGTAAAATAGTAAAATGTTTTTCTTTTTCATTTTCCAACATTGACATATACATATACCTAACTAAAGTTTATTTTTTTGTTTTTCAATCTGAATGTAGCTTTTTGGTGGAAGTGCTTTGACACATGATACAGGAGCCACATTCAGGGGAGACATTAATATTCTTTTAGTAGGTGATCCTGGAACCAGTAAATCCCAGCTTTTACAATACATTCACAAATTAGCTCCCCGTGGGATTTACACAAGTGGAAGAGGAAGCTCAGCCGTTGGATTGACTGCTTATGTGTCCAAAGATCCTGAAACTGGTGAAACTGTATGTTCTTCAACTTTTTATTTTATTTTGCTAAAGAAAGTATAATAATATTTACAACTAATCATTAGGTTTTGGAGAGTGGGGCTTTGGTTCTTAGTGACAGAGGCATTTGCTGTATTGATGAGTTTGATAAAATGTCTGAAAACGCAAGGAGCATGTTACATGAGGTGAAAATATACCAATATACGTTCTTTATAATCTTTCAAAACCACAAAAAATTTTGAATTTATATTTAATTGTTTGTGTATAGGTGATGGAACAACAAACTGTGTCAATAGCAAAAGCAGGGATAATTGCGTCATTAAACGCAAGGACTTCAGTTTTAGCATGTGCAAATCCAAGTGGCTCACGTTATAATCCTCGTTTATCTGTAATTGATAACATACATCTTCCCCCAACATTGCTCTCAAGGTTAAAAAAAAAACGTTGTATGAAATAAATTTGATTTCGTAACTTTTTTTTTAACCTTTTTCTTTATGGATTTCAGGTTTGATTTGATTTATTTACTTCTTGACAAAGCTGATGAGGTGACAGATAGGCGACTTGCCAAACATATTGTTGCATTGCATTTTGAAAATCCCGAGGTAACATTTTTTTAATTTTATATTGTGGTGACTAATACGATTACATAATCAAAGTATAAATAAAGGTTTAAAATTTTAAATTTTTTGGTTGCAGAATTCAGAGCAGAATGTGATAGACATTCCAACCTTGACTGCTTATTTGAGTTATGCTAGAAAAAACATACATCCGGAATTGTCTGATGAAGCTGCTGAAGAGTTGACACGTGGCTATGTTGAAATGAGAAGAAGAGGGAATTTCCCAGGAAGTAGTAAAAAGGTTTGTACTTTTTCTTTTCCTAAACCTTATTGAATTTTATAATGAGAAAATAGAATGAAATAAATATTTGGTTTTAAAAATTAACAGGTGATAACAGCTACTCCTAGACAAATTGAAAGTCTGATACGTCTCAGTGAGGCTTTGGCTAGAATTAGATTTTCAGAATTGGTGGAGAAAAAAGATGTTGTGGAGGCTTTTCGGCTTCTTGAAGTTGCATTACAGCAATCTGCAACAGATCATGCTACTGGTATATATATACATTTATTTATATTTAAAAAAGTATTATTTTCTTGTTTTGTTTAGGTTAATAATGTTGTTTTGTTAACAGGAACTATTGATATGGACCTGATAACAACTGGTGTGTCTGCAAGTGAAAGAATGAGAAGGGACAATTTGGTAGGGATGACTCGAAATATCATCATGGAAAAAATGCAATTAGGAGGTCCATCTACTCGAATGCTAGAGGTAACATGATTTTTTTTTTTATTTAATAAGTTTAAGCAACTTATTTATAGATATAAGAACTATTATCTTGAGTTTTATAAAAAAAAAATGTAATTACTTTTTACAGTTGCTGGAAGAGCTGAAGCAGCAAAGCAATAATGCTGAACTTCACCTTAATGATGTAAGTTTCACTTCCCTTTCTTTTAATACAAATAACAAAATTAAGTTTATTATTAATAAACGAATTGATTTTTTTTTTGTTTTGTTTGTGTCAGCTACGAAATGCACTTGGTAGTCTTGCAAGTGAGGGATTTGTGGTGATCCATGGTGACAGTGTTAAACGAGTATGATGAACAAATGAAGAGAGATAAAACTTGTGTTTTATAGGAAAGAAAGGCAGCAGAAAGAGGGCTCAACTTTAAGCAATCATATTATTATTATTTTTGTTATTGTTAACCCCAAGACACAGATTCTTGCTGATTTGTTGTGTGCTTAAGATAATTATGGTTTGACTTTGTGTTATTTTAGTTGTTGATGTTGTGGTAAACTATTTATCTAAAAGATCAAATGCTATAAAACATATCGATAACTCTTCCAAATATTTCTGTCTGCAATCAAAAGAGGAATGCTTCTTGAGTTCAAACGAGAAGATGATGATCCTTTTGACTTCATAATGAATCTCCCATACTTGAAACTCTTCATTTCCTTATAATATTTTCTTGTTAAATAATGTCCAAGAATAAATGTTAAATCTTTTAATTATTATGTTATCGAATCACTGAAAACGACAAGTATGGGAGATTCATTATGAGAACCCCCTTTAAAGTGTTTATGAGCATGTCACCCTAGAAACTCAACACTAAAGGCAAAAAAAAAAAAAAAAAAAAAAACAATGTTAATCGAACACTTTATCTAAATTCTATACGAAACATTACTACCAATTCCACTTCAAGTTTATTCGATCTCCTAGTCAACTTTGAAGTAATTTATAGTTTCGTTCTTGAAATCTTAAGTAACATGTTGGCTTTGATCATGATGTTATATATACCAACCTGTAAATTATTTATAATACATTTGATTGTTTTTTTTATAATAAGATTACATCTTTTTGTCCCATACATTCTCCTTGAAATCTCTCATAATAATGTCATGGGGTCATGGTATGTTGTTTTGTAGCTCCTATGTTGTCTCCATTAGAATAATAATGGGAGTAATGACATTAGTAGCAACTTCAAGGAAGCTTCCTAAATCAAGATTTAATAAGCCCCACTAATGGGTAGGAAAAAGAGAAAGGTCTTCCATTATATCCCAAATTCTTTCATTCTATTCTTCCATATCAAGTAATATGCCTTTACACTGTCTGATGCTCGCAAAGGTGAAACTGATAGGGCTTTCAAAATGTCACACGTTTACTGCTACTCCAATTCTTGCCACCTTAATTTGGCCATTCTTTTTCAAACTACTACTGAGTTTGAGACCAATAAACAACATTCTTGAAGCCATGGCACAAGATTCCATCCTTTTTGTCTTTCAATTGGGCCAAATAGTCATGTCTCAGGCTGCCAGTAGACAAAGATGGCAACGAATACTCCGTTTGGCTCAAGAAAGGATGGCTATGGCTATGGTCCAACAATCCTACGATGATAGCTTACATACCCTTTCCATGGTTGCACTCTAAAGGTATTTGCTTCATAGAAGGGTAATTTGGGTTTTTTTTTTTACCATTGTCCTCAACTCATTGATATTTCTACCAAACAAGCGTTTATATTCACATGCTACATATTGTATTTGATGAAGTCAAGGCACATGGTCTAATACCGATATTTATGGGATGATGAGCATGCCTGATGTTGCATATGTAGAATGAGAAAAAGAGTCTCATCATACTTTGGAATTTGTCGAATATGTTCATGATTTTGAATTTTGTTTGCAGTTTCTTTAATGCCTCCTTTTCCGTTTAGTTATTTAACAATAAAATTCCAAAGAATCTATATTTATATCTATATTTATACTATCTAATAAATAAAAACAAATAAAAGGATTGACATATATGAAAAAGAGAACAATGCGAAAACAAAATAACAAGATGATGAGGATAATAATTTATAATATTAAATTGGATTAACATCAATAAATAAACATTAAAAAGTTATTATTTTAGACTACCATTTATTTTTACAGATGATATCAACTACTTTTTTTCTCCCATCTCTTTACCTTCTATCTATTGTGTAATGACATGTTACACCTTCAATTAAAAATTTATGTTGTTAAATATCCAAAAGACTTAAACAAATGTAGTTTAAATGTTTCTATACATCATTTCACTTATAAAATAAAAACTTTTTTCAACATTATACTTCAAATGTATACTTTACTGCAATACTTTTAAGTCTCATTTATTAAAAAGTACAATATCATTCCACATTGACAATCATACTTCAACATAGTATATTGTATTGAATTTTTAATTTTTTCTTATTTTATCAATTTACTTTCATTATCAGTCTTATAAATACGTGGTTTTCTACAGGTCTTTAACCTAGTAATAGGTATAAAGGAAAATAAATAAATAAGATTAATAACAATTAATAATAAAAATAATTAAGAACCAAGTTTTGGGGGTTCTTGTAACTATTTTCGAAAGGAAGGACTGAATTTGGCAGCTTTGAAACTTGTTGGTGCAAACATATTTGTTTTGGGGGTAGAAACAGTCATATTGGAAATCTAGGGGGTACTTTTTGAAAAATTCAGAATTCATCTCTTATCTGGACGACTAGACGAGGTCAAGATCGGGAGGCAGCATGGAACGATTCCTTCTCCTATTTCGATCGATGGTGCACGTCTTTTATCCAACCCTAGCCCTCCCTTCGTTCTCTCGACGTCATTCCACAACACAACTACCATAATCGTCGTCGTCTAGCGCCACCACCGTTGAAATAGTTGTACGCCGCCGCTGTTGCCACAAGGTTGTCCTTGGTTTTGATTTTATATTGTTAAGCAATGTACTTTGGGTAGTGATGTTTCCAACAACATTTTTGGCTTCTTGGTGTGCTTTGGGTGTCAATTGAATGCAACGTACTTTGGATTTTTCATTTGTAACAACATACTTTGGGTATGGTTTTTCATCAGTTACCCATATATCATCATACTTTGGATTTTTCGTTTGTGACAACATACTTTGGGATATGGTTTGAAGTGTATGTGGTCATTTTGACTCAATGGAATGTTGCTACTGTTAAGAAGTTATTTTCCAACATTAAGAGTCTATGGTTGATGACTTATTGGGTTAAGATGCCAAATTAATCCAATAAGTCAAAACTGGGAAATTATCAAAAAATACCTATTCTGTCATTGTCTAATAAAAATTATAGAAAAATTATCGAAAGTTGGATTTAGGATCTATAAACTCTAAATGTTCAGATTTTGAGTCTAGTATGTCCTTGATTTTTTCCCTGACCTGATGTTGATCCTAACTAAGGTGAAAATTGTCATTTTCACCAACTGGTCCAGAATTAGCTGCATTTATACACCATCTCATAAAATCCATAATAAATTATAGAAAAATCGTATGGACTTGTGTAAGTAGTCCCTGAAAAGGTATTGGCCTGAACCGTATGAACATGGCTTCATAATCTAGTTTGGATGTGTTTAAGAGGGGAAAAAAGGTATTGAACAGGCTGTTGTTTTGGGTTAAAATATGAAAATTTAACCTAGTAGTTTATTTGTATGTTTAGGGTAATTCATAGCCATTTTTAATCTTGATTGATATTCTTAGGAGTGTTGAAGGGTGACTTGGTGTGAGTGGGTTTTGAGCTGCAGTTAGAGGTTTATTATGCTACTTGAGGTGAGTTTCTCACTACATTGTGTGATGTTGTGCATTCTTTTCTTTAGCTCGTATGTGCTATAGGATGTTTATGCGGGTAGCGCTAGATTGGGTTAGTGTTTAGTAGGAGTATGATATTTTCTTACGTACTGAGGAATACATATAAGAGGGCTCGGCGTATCTAAGGGGGGGGATCGGGCGTAGTCAATGTGTCATAAGGGTTCGACGAACTGAGCAAGGGGGATCAGGCGTATCCAATGTGTCCCAATAGGTTAGGGTTCGAGGGATTGAGCTTACCCAATGTGTCCGAAGGGCTCGACATACCGAGAAAGGGGGATCGAGTATAGCCAATGTGTCCTAGTAGGTGTATGATGTTTCTGATTTGTTCTTTGGCATACATATGTGGTTGGGTGGCTGATATTGTTGATATATGTGTATTAGGGGTAGAGCTTGTATGATATGATACTGTGTATCTGTGAAATTCACTAAGATTTGTGCTTACCTATTTTCCCTTAAAAATATTGTTTCAAGATCAAAATGTATGCGGGATGGCAGTGCATGATAGTACCGTGACAACTGGCAGTTCTGGGTCAGCAAAAGCCAAACAAGTCAACGAAAGTCAACGGGTTAGGACATAAATCATGATTTATACCTTGCTTTTAGGGTTCTCGGCTTAGGACCCAAAACATTGTGATTTCGGTTGGTACTTGGACCGAAATCACCATGTGATCTCGGTTGGTATATGGACCGAAATCACCTTGTGAACTCGGTGGTGCTAGACCGAAATCACATGTGATTTCGGTGGCTTTATGAGGTTTTTGGTGGGAAAGAAAAGAAGAAAAGAGTTGACTTCGTGACATGAGGTTTCATCCTTTCCAACACAAAATATTACCCAACATGTATCAAGGCTTTTATCCAACAAACAACAATGCAAACATCACCTCACCCCTTCCCTCTTTAACTACGGTCGAGAACACTCAACCCCCCCCACCACCACCATCTTCAAAGTTCTTCACTTTTCTCTCAAGAAACAAGTCCAAATCCTCCCAAGATCAATACCTCCAAGTTGGTTCTTAGGATATGTTCTTGTTAATCTAGTGTTTCTACACATTTTCATGTTAGATTCATCTCATTTACACACATTATTGTGTGTTGAACCCATAAGATAAGACCATTTTCAAGGAGTTCTTCAACCACCTTTAAAGTGCTCTAAGCTTGAATATTTTCATCATCACCTCTTGTCACACCCCCGAACCAGACGGCGGAAACGTCCGGGGGCTCGTGTGACTAACAATTGAATAATCATCACAATGAATATACATGAATCGTAATACAATCCTCACCAACATTACATAATACAACTAGCATTGTTCACATCAAGTACATTGTTAAAATACATAAGTTCAAATTGTTAAAAGTACGATAAGTGCTATTACATAAACGAAACCATACACACTTGCAAATCTTCCAGCTTAACGATTACCTGAGAATACAAGTTATTTTGAAAACGGTCAACATATATAATGTTGGTGAGTTCATAAGTATGTTTGAGTAAAAGTCCTTGTAGCTTTCATAAAAACCCAAAAAATCCGATATTTTCTGTAAAATGTCTGAAAATGATGTGAAAATCAAGTATAAATGCATGTGTGAATTTCATAGTTATAACTTATAAGAGTGTAGTTTAGATTCATTGTATTGTGAATAAATGATAAATGTATATGAATAATTTCCCCATAAAATCCGATATTTTTTGATTTATAACAATGTCTAGATTCTTGTATCGTTAAATAAGTCGTTTTGCATTGACACAATCGAAGAGTTTGTCTTCGAAAGGTTACTTTTGGTATCGAATACCTATATGAGCCGTTATAACCATGCATGATAATGACTAGGTCGTCCGTCTTGGTATTTTTCCAAATGCCGATCTTGCTAAGGATGTTGTCGCCCTAGACTGGCCTAGTCTAGCTGTAGCGAACAACTAAGGCGTGGGGGGTCACCCCGTATAGATCTATACACAAGTTCCCGCTTTCCTACCAGGAAACTCTGATTATAAATACAGGCTACGATTGCACACTCAGAGGTGCCAACCGACATGTCTCACTAGATTCTCAACCCCTTTTTGTATTATGTTTAATGTTTACGTATAAGTGGTATGTTTTTGTATTCGAAAGGTACATATATATGTATACGACATTTAATGATTACACAAAGGATTAGTTACGGCATACTAACATGTGAAGTTTCCATTCCAAGCCCTATTAGCATGTAATTAGACCACAAAGGCCCAATAACATGAAAAAGGGTGATTTAGGCCCAATAGGCATGTAAATGGGCCACAAAAGCCCAATAAACATGTAATCCATAACTTAGGCCCAAATTAACATGTAAGTGGGTCGCAAGACCCAATAAACATGTCATGGAAAAACATTGGGCTCAATATACACTTAATTGGGCCCTTAGGCAGCGTTTGGTAGGTGGAACTGGACGGGACAGAACATAACAAGATCATTTGAAATAGCGTTTGGCAGAGATGAGACTAGAAATAAGTGGAACAAAGACTAAGTCAAATGGGACTAAACCTTCAAATTTTAGTCCCACCTAAAAACATAGAACAAAGTGGGACAAGAACATTAAGACTAAAATACCACACCACCACTCATGTTCACGTCTCTCCTGTGCAACTTAATACCATATGAAACCACATATTTGGTAATCTCATCCTCAACTCCTCCACTGTAATAACTAAAAAAATTAAAGATCGTCATTCTCATGCCACGCGATAATTAAAAACAAAAAATAAAAAAAAATAAAAGACCCTCTAATGCATGAAAAAAATAAAACAATAATCTAAAGTCCTTCCAAGTTCTTCTCGGTGCTTACACAGGTTTGGATTTTATATATATATATATATATATATATATATATATATATATATATATATATATATTATTTATCAATATTTTTTATTTTAAAAAAATATCATATGAAAATTTTATAATTATAACATGTTAAGTCTTAAGGATGATTTGGTAATTTGACCATCATGGTTTGTCTAGTTCTAATTACACCAAACACTATATAGAAGTTCTCTTCAGTTCAGTCCAGTTCAGTTCTGTTCAGTCTTGTCCAGTCCAGTTCCACCTTGTCCATGTACCAAACGCTACCTTAGGGCCCAATGGCCAAGAAATGTGAATATTAGGCCCAATAAATAGTTATCGGCGTATTTCGTTCGTTTGTTTTGTTCCGTTGTTTGTTTTAGCTCAAGGTTTACTAGCTGGATGATAAGAAGCATTCATTTTGTAAAAATGACATTTTTGGCCAATAATCCTCCAATTTTTAATTAAGGCCCAAAGTTTTGTAAAAATGACACTTTAGTCCATAATTTATAAAAATTTGTAATTTGGTCCCAAATGTCTATAAATTTACGGTTTTAACCCAAAATGTTATATTTTCACATTTAGAACCCTGTTTTGCAGAAAAAATACATTTTCAGCCCCTTATTTGTAAAAGTTTACACTTTCGGCCCAATTTTTGGAAAACTTTACATTTTTGGTCCAATTTGAAAATAAATGATATTTTCACCTCTAAATTTGGTTTATTTACATTTATGACTCAAACTTTGGCCAAATAACATTTTTAACCCCAAAACTTCATTTTTTTCGCAAATTGGGGCCAAAACTGTGAGGCCCAAAAGTTTTGGCCCATTAAGCTAAAA